TTTTAAAAATATGACATTTTATTCATTCTCATTCAGCCTGAACCAGATCTGCCCTCGACAGATTGCGCTAATCTCAAACCTTAATCACCTTCAACACCGTGGATAGATTAGGGTTACGACCCTGTGCCACAAAGAGGGGCCAGAGAAAGAGAGAGAGAGGTCTGCAAATGTTATCATTGATTGATTATGCCCTTTAATTCAAATGGAAAGCATCAGCTTCCCAACTCTGCTGCAGTGCAGGAAAAAGGCTCTCACAGCAGATGTCACTTCATCAAAGATGTCAAATTCGTCTGTACCTTTCCGTCCTGCAGAAACACACAGAAACATGGCGAGCTAAGCGCCGAAGAGGTGCACAAGTAAATCCTGCTGCCAATGTCAAAATCGTGGCCAGGATGAAGTCTATGGGGGATGGTTGGTCCTTGTGGATCGGCTCGGCGATGGTGGCGGTGACGCAGAGACGGGGCGGGGGGGATTTTGTTGTATGCTACAGCCAGTGGGGCCAGCAGGCGGCCATATAGGTGATCAATCAGCTCCATTACAGCAGTGTCACTGCCGAGTCTGGAGTTATCCTGCCCATCACCCCTCCACAATACACGCAAACATCGCCTGTTTCTAGTCTAGACTGGAAAATAGAATCCCGCAGCGTGATGAAACTGGTCCATGAGAGTAAACACAGTGAAAAAACAGATGAGTTTCTGCTGTGTATCAGTGACATATTCTCAGATTCAGAATCAGGGCATGCGCATGTATAATACTAGGATGGGATTCACCTCCAATCAGAGGATGCATAAAGTTGTTTTGACAGAGATGAAGCAGATTCTGATACACTTGCTTTGAATTGCATCAAGACACAGCTTTTCAAAGCAACCAAAAATAGGATCGGCTCCATTGTGATTGGTAAGTAGCTCGCACAATGAGCCCAAAGACATTATGCAGCAGACACTCGCAATGACACTGTTCATGTTTCTACACTCAGCTCAGAATATCTCCATGCAGCCTGGAGATGCATATCTGTGCTGGCAGATGCCAGGCGAGCATTAGACAGGTATCCCACTGATGGAGTTATCTCAGTCAGCTGAAGCAGCACAGACTGGGACCATGGAGCAGCACAAGTAGGAGGAGGGAAAGAGAAGAGTGAAGGAGAAAGATGGAGGCTGGAAGGGGAGGAGAGCGGGCGGCGGGGAATATGTGATGCACAGCACCTCGCAGCCAGCCAGCCAGCCAGCCAGCGGGACATTAATGACGATCATGTCTTGTCACACTGCTGTCGGCCAGTCAGCAGATCTTGCCCTTGTCCCTGCCCTTCTCCAATCAATTGCATCGATCTGTCCCAGGGGTCAAGGGGCAAGAGCGTATCAATAGGGGGAGAGCGGCTGATGCAGCAGGCAGAGAGGGGCGCACTCCAGACAGATCGATGACACCCCACCCCATGTGTCTGTGTGTGTGTCTGTGTGTGTTTGGGGGGCGGGTGAAAGTAGTTATGATTATTCATTTGCCATTAACCCGAATGCATTAAGGGAATATGTTTCCTTGGGAAGAAATGGTGCTCGAGGCTGCTCATTTTTATAGGGAAGTGAGATTTTATGAGTTGGGGAGCTAGAGTAGCGTTCTGGCCAGAACCGACAGCGTTCTGGTCTCAGACGATTTGTTACCAAGGTTTCCACCCATTGGTGACGTCAAAAGCAAGAAGCCAATCTCTGCTCTCAGAGAGATTACAGATGTAAGCAGCAGTTGGCTGATTTTCCAATGTTTTGTGCCTGAGTGTCACTGTCTGCAATACAACTAAACGGCTCACAGAACTTTGAGTATCACAAAGTGTATTAGTCTCGTGTGATGGGTCTCTTGCTTTGAATATACAGTTTCTCTGACATCGAAACAAAAATGCAGGACAATCTGCAATCTGATCACAATGTAAACATTGCATCCACTCCACAGGCGGTAACATAAATTCACTTTAGGGACTGTTTATTTTTGTTTTGAGCTCAGTGAGATTTATCTTCATATGGAGCTTTAAAGAGCAGCAGCATTTGCTAGCGTTTAGCTGAACACATGCAACAGGAAACAACTATAAACTGGCCAAAAAAGAAGAAAAATCATCCAAAATGAATTATTATTCTAGGTTTCAGCAACTTTCCTTATTGCTGGTCTAATACACGCACTCTTTAGGTTTCTGGCTGCCTTCACTGATGAAATGTAGAGCAAATGTGATGCTCCATGATTGGCTGTCTGCGCAGTGCTGCCAGCTCTTCCTGCTGTACATCATTTGGACTGCAGCACACCAAATTCAATCAAGGCAATCTTTATTTTATTAATTCTTAAAGTCATCTGAAGAACCTTGAAGTTCCTTGCCAGCGTACTTCTCAAAGGGGCTGTTATAGCAGTGGGGGCAGAAAAAAATTAATAAATCAGCGACCTAAACCGGCCCTATCTAATCCCATAATTTATTTGTTTAACCATCCCATAAATGAAGGCCCAGCTGGAACCAATGACCAGCTGGACAGAAGAGTGCTGAGGCAGCATGATTCTCAGCAGCAACGCTTTCCTCGACACATCTGGAGGAACGACTGAAGTTCAGAGGTGAGGAAAGATGAGAAAATCGCAGCTCTTGAAATAAACACTAGTGAGGCACATCTTGATTCTGCATACTCTGTTAAATTTGTAAGAGCTAAAGACGAAGGAAACAAAGTTTGCATTTGTGATTAAATAAAGAAGCTACATTTGGTGCTGCCTGAACTAACTCTTCATTCCAAGCTGACTGGCATGAGATCCCCTCTGCGTTCCTCAGCACACTGTCCACTTTTCAACACTTCTTCTGACTCTTCTTCCTGTGAGTGGGTCAGAACAGCAGCAGCAGCAGCAGCAATGTGAAACCCGGTGGTGTGTAGCTGAATAAGGAGGCGTGATCTTCCTGACAGTGGGATTACAAAATGGAAGATAAAAGGCCTTCTTTGGTTTCAAGGGATTTACCAGGATCATATTCCCACACAGAAACCTGTTTGATGACAGTGACTCTACCGGCCATGCGATGCTGACAAGGATCGCTGGATTTCAACGGTGTTAGTTTCCCTCCAGATTTAATTACTGATGATCTAAAAATAGCCAATTAATTCCATTCAATAGCTGCACTGATAGGAAACAGGTAAGGGGTTTTCCACAACTGTTCACACTGGAAGAGCAGGCTAACTTTGCAGACAACCCTTCAGCCAAAGAAATTCTTCAACATCTTAACATCAAATATTTCAGAGTGGAACAGCATATCTGGCTAAGCATGAGCGCAATTCAATGGAAACTCTGAGCATCAAACAATGAAAAAGATACAAGCTCGTTGGATAAATGACAAAGGTTGCAGAAGGGCAGCCTGCTCAGCTTCAGCTCCAAACATTGTAACATCTGTGTCATCAATAAAAAAAAACCCTATCACAATGATGAAGAACTACAGCAGAATTTACAACAAAGCTCCAGCTCGAGCAGGCAGCTTGCTTACATCAAACCGTCCTGAAGAGTAACAATCTCAAGCTGATCTGCCAGGCCGTTTTTCTCTTGTGTGATGCTTTGGAGTCATTTTACAAGCTGTGGCTGAATGCCAGACACAGATGTAGTCTGACGCAGTCAGTCAGTGGACAAGTCCACAGTAAACAGAGACTCTAGTGTCGCTGAGGCAAGCTTCAACCTGAAACTGGACCTCATATCACAAATGCACATAGTATGGAACTGTGGACAATGTATCACAAGACTTGGCAACAACCTATAAACATCCAACTGCAATAATAGAGTGGGGCTGCGTTGGGTAGACAGTTTTAGGAAGTGTTAGGTGTGTCAATTAGACCTAACCTGAGTCAGCTGTTCAAAATATGTGTGCAAATGGCAATCACAGAGCATCTGCTAAATATAACAAGTCTGATTATTATATTTTATACTTTCTGTTTACAGCGAACCCTCTGTGTATCATAATATTTGGCACGCAGCACACATTAGAAAGACGCCACAGCCGTGTTGAATAAAAAGGCCGACGTGTAATACTAGGCCGCAAAGATGAAGCGGCGGTTTGAAACACGAGGCCATCACGGCGTGAAATAGGTTCCACCACGCAATTACACCTCAGCGAGTAGAAAGCACTTCAAAATAAGACAATATGGCATATTTTTATATTTTAGCACCCTGTTTAACTCATACTGAATTTCACAACTGTTTATAACTGGAGCAACTCCTAACATCTTTTATCAGGATTGAATATGTTAGCACTTAAAAGGCAGATGAAGACAAGCAGTAAGCCTGAGTACAATGTGTTCTAACTAGAACTCTAGCAGGGCCATAGTGAGCTGGCAGGCCCGCCATGAAACAAAAACCACATGTGAGCCAGAGTTACATTATTCTAAAGATCAGCATCACTTTAGAGGTGCTGCATGTTCAAACTGCAAACTGATGTCATACGTGTACTCCAAGGAAAGCTAGAAGGTTGTACAGTTAACTCCCAGGGTGTAATTCTAAACCATACAACCTACTACCTCAACCCGGATGCACACATTTTCAACTAGGGTTCCTCTCGTCTATGTACTGAATAAAGTCATCCTCAAGCCAAACTGTGTCTCATCACTATCACCACATTTCAGGTTTACGCTTGGAGAAAGATTGAATATTAATATATGGAGCAGTTTAAAACCTAAATTATTAAAGAAAAAAAAAGGTTCAAGCACGACGATCGCACCACAATGACAAAGACCCACAGAGGCGAGCTTGTGCTGTCAGATTCGCCACAAGATCGGATCTACGGGTTTGTGCCAAATGGTTATGGCCAAAGTAGCAAAATAATTCAATAAAGGACTAATACTGCCTCGCAGCTATAGCAACACAGGTGTAAAAAAGCAGGACGCGTGTGCTGAACACTGGCGTTCATGCAGATCACGGCAGTGCCAGTGAATACACCGCAGCTAGCAGCAAGACATTCGCCCCACACGATCAAAGTTCATCAAACAGATGGTGACAGCATTGTGGTAACTTACCCATCGTGGCTGCATCTCGCTCTGAGGATGGGTCGCTGGGCCAGTGGGTTCTCTAGGGTGGCCATTTATTTATCTAAAAACAGGAAAAGAGAATTGCTTTTAAATACCACACAATGCTTTGCATCTGCCAGGACCTGCAGCTTAATGCTACGATTCACTTTTAACAATGACTCTTATCGTTGTGAGAAAAGAAAAAAAAAAGGTTCACAGTTACATGTCAGTAACTGTTCTGACAACATCACATCCACACGGGAAAGAAGAAAAACACAAACACAAATGTGTGTATATCGGTAAGTTTCTGTGCCTCAGTTTGGGAGTGTCATATGTCTCTGCAGTTCCCAGCTACAAAATTAAATCCATAATAATAACAATCTGCTGTGGACTTGTATCCCAAACTAGCCCACAGAATTGCCAGAGCGGTCCTCCTCCTGGCCAACAGCAATGTGGCTGTGGTGAGAGCTTAGCTCAACTTAGTCAAGACCGCAGATAGCAGAGAGCAGAGAGCAGAGCCTGAGAGGGATGCCAGTGTAATCAAGCATGCCACGGTCAGCTACCATTAACTGTGCCAGTGCCACAGAGCCACAAACAACAGAATATTCCTACGGCCGCAGTGCGACAAAGGAAAACCTGGAATAAGAGAACAGAAAATGCCACTTACCTACGTCTCTACTATTCTGTCAGACTTTATGTTTCTATCTTTCTGTATCCACACTTTCTACTTGGGTGTGAGCTATGCGCAGTGGGTGCTAGGACCATTGGTTTATTACTTTGCTAAATGGAGGAATGATGAAAAGACCGAGGCACACTTCTAAACTGAGCTCACTGAAATCACGGCTTCAGTTCAGCGATGTGCTGTCCGCCATTTTCTCCGAAACAAAGTAGAAGAGAAAAAAATTGTATAAAAATGATTTGCTGGCATCATTATTCAAAGTTTTCCCCTTTTCTCCCTCCGTGTGTGAGTCTCTCTCTCCCTCTGCCTCGCCTGGCACCATCACAAAACCTTGGCTGGAAAGATCACATGATTTCCTACCAGAAAGCCACAGCATTCCCAGTTAGTATTCTGCTGACACTGTAAAGACATCTTTTGTCTAAATCAAAGCGTGGCCTGCCCCCTCCCAAAATCTCGCACCTTCTGGGAGGGGGTGGGGGGGTTAGGCAGTGTAAAGGGCGGTGTTAGAAGCCATAGCAACCTCTACCTGGCAGGCTGCCCAACACACGAGCACTGCGGGCTAATATGGAGTGGAGCAGGAATGCTTATCGCCTTCCAAAGTCAACTCCATGGGCGTGCTGGTTGCTTAAGATTTCAGTGCTGATGCCAGATTTTTTGTTTTTCTTGACAAAGTAAATAAAATCGTCTAGATACATGACAAACTGACGACACGCTCACACTGCACCTCCTGATTGAAATAAAGTTCACATGCTTCTGTTTTAAAACGCTATTCATCAAAATCATGTGAGCTCTTTCAGTAAACACAAACACTGGATCAAATTCGTCACACATCAAATAAAACACTTTATGTGGCTTTGCTGGAAAGTATTAAAAAACATAAAAAAGGACACTCGGTAGTATAAGGAATCTTCTGCAAACTTCTGCAATGATTCTTTCAAGCAGACGAGACGAGCTCTGTCTTACACGCTGGGATATAGTGTATCAATCGCTCATGCATCATCAGCAGCGTGTTTTCCTGTGCCGCACACTTCTGCAGTTTAGCCAGAAAAGTAGCCAAGCACAGTCAGGTGGTTTGTTACCGTAACACAAGCATATGTCATAGACCTGTGACTCACTAAAGAGAAAGGTATCCGCCAGAGACCACACTACAGTTCTGTGCTGAGAGCATCTCACACGCCGGCCTCCTCACTCAGCTTAACGCCAGACTGTTGAGCATCTGCCTTACTTGCTCAGCTCTGACTTCAAGGAAACGATCAGTGTAGCAATGACTCCCGACCTCTGTATTTTCAATCACCGCGTTACTTTAATTTAACACAAAATGTGGAGAAATACTTCACATTTTGCACATAATCTAAAACCTTCGTTTCCACAGTGTAGCAGTCATTCAAAGAAAAGTTCACCAGTATGGATGGATAAGACAGTAAGATGCAGCGGCAACATATAAAATATTTCTGTGCATATCTTAGCCTTTATTTAAATTATATGATGCTCATTTTCATAGTGGATTAGGACATCGTTTGAAGTTATAACTGTAGACCTGCTGCAAGAAAGGACAATTTCAAACTGGCATTAAAATAAAGAAGAAAAACAGAATCAAATTTAGAGAGGACAGCGTGATAAGAACACAGGTGGAGGAGAGGCACAAAACATTTGCAGATGCATGCAAATAAAAACACAAAACAAGAAATGATCTGTTTTTTTAATGTTACCCATTTCATATTCTCGTGACAAATGAGACCAAGTCAGAAACACCGCACTGACACGACGGTACAGAATAAACGTTGAGCAAACACTTCGATCAGGCTCCAACCGATAGATCAACATCAAAGATGCCGGCGTAATGGGATTGTAATGCCAGTAAGCAGTCTGTTCTGAGCTGAAGATTAATGTGTGTTTCCCCCCATTATTTGTCATCAAGAGCAGCCTGTAGCAAACAACTCACCTTCACTTGATTAAATCCCTGGAAACAGAAAGAAGAAGGACAGCAGCGTGCTACACCTGTTGTCTAACTTGTGCAACGCTATCATCAGAATCTAATGTGGTTACATTTATTAAATCATGTGCAGTCAACACCTCGCTGGTGCAAAACAAGCACACAAACGTCGACACTTCTCTGTCGACAATTCAGACTGTTCACTTAGATCTGACGGTGCTATTTACTGATAGGAAAAGGCGGCATCCTGATGTTCTTCTTGGAGAAACTGCTGTGTGCCGTTTTCATCTTTCCCCATAATTAGGTCATCTTTATTAACCACCACACAATATCCATTTCACAACTCTCTCACACATACTATGTTGTGGAAAGGGAAAAATAAGTGCACAGGTCTGCATAGCTACGAGACAGCTAGCTCTGCGATGTAGAAGAAAATGGCCATGCGGCCACCTGAGCGCCTCATCTGATACGTCAGCCACGCTCAGCCAAAACATTCCCCCAATGAGGGGGTCAGTTCATGTCCTGAAAGGCAGAAGGCCAGGGTCAAAGTTCAAATGAGAACCAGAGGGGTGGGGGTTTGAAGGACTTCCCTTGGGTATGGAACGTACCATTATGAACCAGACAGGGGTGGAAAAAATCAACACTGTCATCGACAATGCAATAAAGTCAGCGGGGGAGGAAATGACATGATTTACATGTGCGAGGATATAAGAAAGGCTGAGAAAAGCTAGTGTTTGTTTTTATCGAATGGCCTGTTATACACTGATGGGAACCCTGTTATACTGTGAAGGCAACATACATCTGTGTAGGTACACAAACACTATATCAGTGGTTATGACGACCAAACCAGACTCCACCTGAGACATCCTTTTGTGAAGGAAAAAATAAGCATTACATCTTTATAAGCCTGAAAATGTAAAAGCTGTGTTAAGCAGCTATTCATTTAGAAACGTGGCATTTTCAAAGTGTATAAAACACTATACATTTTGTTATCTTTACCAAAACTTTGCATACTGGCAGCCAAAACTAAGCAGGAAGATAATTTGTGCTACTTTATTCTCTGCAGGCACACCAGAGACAGGGGGTTATTTTTGGCTCAAAGCTCTTATCTCCATTAATTTAATGTTGCCTCAAGCCGTGACAGAAAAACAGTCAACAGGTTAATCCAGACAGAGTTTGTGCAGTTCGCATTAATGAAACGTACCCATCCAGCCACTTCATTGTGTCTGAGTATGAGACTTGATCTTGCCAAGGACAAGAACCCAATACAAAGCCCAAATATTGAAATCTAACATCGTGCATGGAATATTTTTGGATAGCTCTGTTTGCTGAGTGTTTTAGTATACTGGGAAAACACCCTGCACACTATTACTGGCAAAGAAAGCGAACAGAGTCGAGGCAGTACACAGGATTTACTTTTTCTCTGTTTCCCCTGTAGAGAGGCCTCATCTTACTGTGCCCTGCTCTGGCGCCTCTTTCTCAGCGTTCAGCTACAAGGACTGACAAAGGAATAAGATGACTTAAAAAAAAGCCAATTAGCTGATATGAACAAGTGAATTAAAAGCAACACGGTCAGGCGTGTGAAACCTGCTACTGCTGCTACGACACAGGCAAACACATGTATGTGTAAAGAGCAATAAGAAATTCAGCTTAATTAGACAGAAAAGCCAAAAGAAAGAGTCGAGCACATGCTTCTGGGCATTGGGGCTTAACATAGCAGTTGCTCACAAACATGGGCTAACCTGTTTGGGATTACAGAAATACTGCCGTGTTACTATTAACTTAGGGTAATGTTGCTTTAAAAGCTAACGCAGCTTTTCTGTGCAGCCAGCCACGGCAATGACTTTGCCCGACCCACCTGTCTGTTGATCCTACTGCCTAGCACCAGACTAAACACTGAGATTTTCAAAATGGCTTATTGGCTGCAACTGACTAACAGGCAGCCAATCAGTGCGCAAGGAGGCATGGATGGAGGACAAGAATCAGTCAGTGAGAGCAGAGGAGAGAGGAAGAGGCTGTGCAGAGACAACCGAACCTCGTACAAACTCAAGAGGGGAAAAGAACGCAAAGGCAGAAGAAAAGCTCGACAAATAAACAGTAAATTCAAAGTTACTCTGTGACAGAGATATGAGTGGGGTTTTTTTTTGCTGCAGTATCAAATGTTGATGCAGAACAATAATAAAGTAAAAGGGCATTTGTTTTCTGAATGGCACTGAATTGATTACCTGGCTTCAGACAAGGCTGCTATCAGACCCTGCGTTTACCATCGCTAACAGGGATCAATAGCTAATGAATTCCAAACGGCCAAGTTTCAGAAGCATAAACGTATCCTACACGACTGCATAAAGTAACCTCTACGGATCAATGAATATGACATCACGCGCAGCCGGAGGAATGCATCTTTTTAATCGACCTGAGGGTTCTCAAATTAATTCAAACGACAATTAAAATGGATCGGATTGCGTGGCAC